TGCAAAACCCTGCGGGAAGTCAATGATGGTGGCCTCTTCGGGCCCTCATGGGGGGGCCCTCTCGGAGGCCTCTTGGGGCGTCTTGGAGGCCTCGTGGGCCGTCTTGGGGACATCTTGAGCGTCGTCGAGCGATCGTTCGGCCTCTTGGGGCCCTCTTGGACCGTCTTCGGGATTGAGAATGTGGGCTCGGGCCCCCTCAAGGACCCCGCAGGAGTGAGGACTGGTGCTCAGGGGATTGGACAAAGGACCTGAGGACACGCCCATTCCGCGTCAAGCGGCACGGTGGCGGATACGTATACATTACTCCAGGGAAAACCCACTTAGTGGATGTTTGATGTTGTCGCAGGTGCCTCAATCGGCCTTCCCCCCGCCCGAGTCTAATTCGAAGAGACGTTCCTGACCAGTCTAATTATTATATGTTCCTCTCTCTGTCTCGCCTTATCTTTCTCTCTCTGTCCCTCTCTCCCATCTTTATATCCAGATGTACCACTGCCTATACATTCCTGTGCCTATCTCTGTACATACATACGCGCACGTTACCTCTCGATATGCATGATTGTCTCTCTCGCTCTCCCTCTCTCTCTCTCTCTCCCTCTCTCTATATATCCTTCTACTCCGGTTCCCTCACTTGTCTTGTATCATACATGTGTGGTTCTCTATCTCTCTCTCTCTCTCTTTCTCTTTCTGTATCTCTCTCTGTATGTATGTATATATACACATATCGGATCTTGGGGGGGGGATGGGAGTGAAACGGAGACCCCCACCAGGAATTCGGTTTCGGATTCACGCTGGTGTCGTGCATGCGGGCGAGGCGGAGCTGCGTGGACGGGCGAAAGGAATGAACCCGCCGTTTCCAGGGCGAAGCCGAACCAACCGTTGCTGCCCCCCGGGTTGGCCAGCCGTGGCCCTGTGCTGTCCCGACGGTGCCCCGATGGTGCCCCGACGGTATCCCGTGGTGTCACGTGGTGTCCCGTGGTGCCCCGTGGCGCGGGGGTGTCCCGCGCTATGCTACATGCTATGCGATGTCATGCTAGCGATAGTGTGATCGATAGTGAGGTCGATCGTGAGATCCACTGAGTGAGATCGAAAGTGAGATCGACCGCGAGTTCGATCGTGAAATCGATAGTGATATTGGTAGTGAGGTCGAATGAGTGAGATCGATAGTGAGGCCGATAGTGGTATCGGCAGTGACATCAATAGTGTGATCGATTGAGTTGCATCGATTGTGAAATCGATACTTAGATTGATCGTGTGTTCGATAGTGGGATCAGTAGTGAGATCGATTGAGTGAGATCGATCGTGGTATCGACTGTGATATCGATAGGGGGATCACTAGTGGTATCGATCGTGAGATCGATTGAGTGACATCGGTGCTGCTATCGATAGTGACACCGATGATGCCATCGATAGTGAGACCGATCGTGAGAGCGATCGTGAGATCGAGGTCGATCGTGAATTCGATGGTGTGATCGATAGTGCTATCACCAGTGTAATCGATAGTGACATCGATCGTGAGATCGAGAGTGAGATCGAGAGTGAGATCGGTAGCGAGACCGATCGTGAGAGCGATCGAGTGAGATGAACGGTGATACCGATAGTGACATGGATAGTGAGCTCGACCAGGAATCCGGGAACCCGGGAACCAGAAACTGGAACCCCATGGACAATCGCCGCCCGCCGAAATCGGCCCCGAACCAACAACCAGGAACGGGGGAACCTCCGCTAGGACCCCTTCAGTGCAAGCACTGATGGGGGACTATTGACGGATAGATAGGTGAACCGATCGAAAGAAATGTAGCCATCGGCGCATCCCGTAACCGTGCGTGGGTCGTGGGTCAGAGTCATCATGGATCCGTCTTGGGGTCTCTTCGGAGAAGCTTCTTGGGGACCTCGCGGGCCTTCTTGGGGCCTCCTCGGGGCCTCTTGTGGCGGGGAGCTCGCAATGCCGAGTCGTCTTTCCACTCTGGGATTTCTCTTGGGGCCCTCTTGGGGCCCGCTTGAGCGCGGCCGTCTGGGAGGTTTGGTGGGCCGTCTCGCCTCTTGGGCCGCCTTGGGGCGATCTTGGGGGCCTCTTGGGCCGTCTGGGAGCGTCGGGAACCCGAAAAGGCGGAAGCGCCAGAATCGTTCAATGACCAAAAGGAGTAGAAACGAATTGCTCCTCGTACGTAGGACTCGTTTGGGAGTGCTCTTGGATGCCTTTTGGGGCGTCTCGGAGGCATCTTGGATTGCCTGGAGGCCACCTTGGGCGTCTTGGAGCGATCTTTCAGCGCAGTGGAGGTCGTTCTGTCAGGTCGGTCACAAGTGTCCAGAGGACTGGCAGGAAACACCCCAGAGCTCACGGGGAACACCCCAGTAGACCCTTGGAAGGCCCAGAGCATTGGTGGTCGGTGACCTCATGGAGCTACAATCCAGTGCCGTGTGTCTTGGGGTATTCGACTTCGTGCCAGAGGCACGGTGGCGGGTATGTCTGTCTCCCTCTCTCTCTCTCTTTCTCTCGCTCTAGTTCTCTTTCTCTCTCTCTCTCTCTCTCTGGTTATCTATCTCTCTCTCGCTCTCTTTCTCTCTCTCTCTCTCTCTCCCTTTCTCCCTCTCTCCCCTTTTTTTTTTTTCTCTCTCTCTCTCTCTCTCCCTCTCCCCCTCTATCTCTCTGTCTCTCTCTATCTCTCTCTTTCCGTTATGTGTGTTTCTCTTCCTCGTACACCCGCTCTAGTGCGATCAGTGTCCGTGCGACGCGGCCCGTCGACTCTGCAGTCGCGCTCGCGTCCGCTAGCGCTGTGAGCAAGCAGTGTCTTTTTCATTCTCCGCCGCTCCTCCCCGAGTGCATTCCGCATGCTCCCTCGGCTGCGCCGCCTCCTCCTCCTCCTCGTCGTCGTCTTCCTCCTGGTGTGCCTCCATCTTTCTCGTCCGCCTGTCACTCCTGCTCCTCCTCCTGCTCCTCATCCTCCTCCTCCGCCTCCTCCGCCTCCTCCTCCTCCTCTCACCCTCTCCCCACCCTCTGGAGGAGGAGGAGGGCCTCCTCCTCGTCATCCTCCTGCTCCCCGTCCTGCTCCTCCATCCGTTTTTCCGACAGAATGGCTTCCCGTGGCGCCCCCGGGCGTGCCAATCGGGCGGGCTGGGCGCTTCGCCCGAGCATTCCCAGCCACTGTTGAGCCGGGCCCGTCTCTCTACAGGGGAGGATGTCCAAAAATAGTCCAAGAATAGTCAGGGGACGATTTCTTTCGTTGTTTGGTTAAAAAAACACTTGTTGGTTATCGTGTTTTTGTTTGGGGGGTGATCGTCCAACATCCGCCTGTAGGGGACATGCCCGACCTAACATGACTTGTGACCTTGAGTCTTGAGCTTTGCAGCAGCTTCGGGGATGAAGGGCGGGCCGTTCTCTCAGTGTGATTATCACCCGACCGCCGCGCGCATGCGCCTTCAGAGTCCGCAGCGGCCTTGCGGATGGGAGGCGGGCTCCTGTTCTAGATGCGGTTCTCGGCCGAATGCCGCGCAGGTTTGTCTGCAGAGTCTGCAGCAGCTTCACGAATGGAGGGCGGGCTGTGTTCAAATTGTGGTTCTCGTCTCAGCGCCGCGCGCATTCGCTTTCAAACTGTGCAGCATCTCCGCGGACGGATGGCGGGTGGTTTTCAACATCAGTCTCTCGCCTCAGCGCCGCGCACTTTCGCTTTAAAACTTTGCAGCGGTGTCAACGATTGAGGGTGGTTCCTTTTTGAAAACATGGTTCTCGCCCAAGCGCCGCGCATATTCGTGTCGTATCTTTGCAACGGTTGCAGGGAATTGTATGGTTGACGTTGCAGGCGTAATGTTCTGGCACGACTTAAGACTGTCAGAGCGCATCAGTAAAGTTGATTCGCGGTGCTGAAGACCCAGGAACAGTTCTCTGGCACGATTTACTATTGTCGAGGACGCAACAGTCACGTTGATCTGCGGCGTTAAAGTCCCAGGAGCGGTGTTCTGGCACAGTTGAGGATTGTCAGAAGGTTATTTTCTAATTGGCCGCTTCCCGCAATGAAAGTACATTATTTTAAGTAAACACACATGAAGAGGGAGCTTGAAAGGAGGGTCGTCTGCAACATCGTTGATGCGTCTTGGGTTTACACTGCTCCTCATCCTCCTCCTTCCTCCCCCTCCTCTCCCCTCCATTCTGGGCCCGCAGTCAATGGGGGGGAAGGGGGCTGAAATCCGACGGTGCGAAACATATGCGACATCATGGAAAATCTTGACTGGAGCTCTAGATCCTATCTTCCCGCTGCATTTTTCAAGCCAGGCCGATCTATGATGGCCCCAGCGCCCGAAAGTGCACGAAAACGCTTGGTGTGGAAAAGTCGCAGTGCCACTGGGGGGGAGGGCGGACAATGGAGAACATTGGCCGTCGCAGTGCTTCTTCCCGGCTGCACCCCCCCCCGGACACGTCTGCTGCTGAATGTCACGTCCTCCCTTTGCTGTTGTTCCTCCTTCTCCTTATCCTCCTCCTCTTCGTCCTCCTCCTCCTCCTCCTCCTCCTCCCCCTCCTCCTCCTGTTCCTTGTCCCACCTGTTCCTCCTGCTCCTTCCTCCCCTTACCACTCCCGTCTTGAAGAGGAAGGCCTCCTCATCCTCCACCTCCTCCTCCTCCTCCTCCTCCTCCTCCTCCCTCTCCTCCTCTTCGTCGTCCTCCTCCTCCTCTCCTCCTCCTCCTCTTCCTCCTCCTCCTCCTCCTCCTCCTCCTTCTCCTTCTCCTCCTCCTCCTCCTCCTCCTCCTCCTCCTCACCCTCCTCCTCTTCGTCCTCCTCCTCCTCATCCCCCTCCTCCTACCCCCCCTCCACTTCCTCCTCCACCTCCTCCTCTCCTCCTCCTCCTCCTCCTCCCTCCTCCTCCTCCCCCTCCTCCTCCCCCTCCTTCTCCTCCTCCTCCTCCTCCTCTTCTTTCTCTTCCATGCCTCCCCTTCCTGGGCCCCCAGAGGAGGGAGAATCTCGACCGTCGCCGGGCTTCGTCCTGGCTGCCCACCCTTGGGCACCTCAGCGCAGCATGGCTCCGCGCGGCATCGGCCCGTCGTACGGCGGCGAGGCCCAGGCGGCGGCGCCGCCAGGAGAGTCGCTCTCCGCTGGGGCTCTTTGAGCTTCCTTCTCAGCGGCACCGTACCCAGACCCCCTCGGGCAATGAAGAAGTCCTGACGGGAGTTTTTTTTTGTATTTTCAGCCCCTGGGGGCCCTTACCGGCCCTCGGGACCGTCAAAAAACGCCTCAGGATGAACAACCGGTGTGATGAAAAAATCATGACGTCGGGGGTCTGGGTAATGGGTATTCACTAACGGGTATTTTGAACTCTTGCCGAAAGTTGCCGCTTCTTTAGGGCCTCTTTCTGGCATTCCAGCGTTGCCCACATCGTGAAGGGTTGCGTTCGCCGGGTCACTGGCCAAAGTACCCGTCTGTGGTCCCCGTTAGAGGGGTGCTGACCCTAGGAGGCGTGGGCGAAACACTGATGCGCACCCGCGGCCTCGCGGGCCGGGCCCCTGGGCCGCCCAGTGGGCCACGACACCGCGGATGCGGGGCGCGTTCTTGTTTTCGCGGATGCCCTTGCGCGGAGCGTCTCCGGTGACCGACCGCGCCTCCGCGGCAGCGCGCCCCGACAAGAACCAGGCCGCGAGGGCGCGGGTGTGGACAGCTTGCCCGCTCGTGTATAGGAGGGAGAGGGGGCATCTAGGCGCCCCGCCGGTTCTGGCCCACCACGCTTCGGCGCGGCACGTCACACTTTACCGTCCAGCGAAGCCCAGTGGCATAGGAGGACAGGAGGAGGAGGAGGAGGAGGAGGAAGAGGAGGAGGGGGAGGGGGAGGAGGAGGAGGAGGAGGAGGAGGAGGAGGAGGAGGAGAAGGAGGAGGAGGATTGTCTCGGTTGAAACCGTAGGTTGCGGGCCAGCCACTCACACCTCACCCCGTCGGTGGAAAGGGGATGGCCGATGCGGGCGGCCGCCGCGCAACCTAAGGTTTAGGGGATGGCGGATAGCCACGATATTGAGGGGCTTAGTGAGGAACACCGGTCGATGTTCCACCCTGTATCGATATCGCTGGCCGCCACCCCCTCCTCACCCCATGCCCCAGGTGATCCTGTCGAATCGGGGCCCCTACGGGGTGGCATCCCGAATGGGGGCAGCGAACTTGCCGCAGCAGTGGTCCGCAAAATCTTGCTGGCGTGCTCAGGCCACTAAGTCTCCACAGCAGTCGAGACGGTTGGCCAAAGCCTTCCATCGCGTGCCAATGCTCGCCGTATCGTGCCTATGCCCTTGATAGGAGATTAATGTATCAATGTGTGCCGTGTGACCGCGACAAGGCACCGGCTTTGCGTGCTGGTCCGTCCGATTGTGCGGTATACGCCCATGCCACGGGAGTTCGTGACACTTTCGTTGCTGTCATGCGGTGCGGTGGTCGAGGCATAGCTCTGCACGGCATACAGCAAAGGATAGGCCGTACAGCCTATTCCCACAGCTTGTGTCGGTGACCTTTGTGGGCACCATGCGGCCCCCAAAACGTCACTGGCTTCGCGTGCTGGCCCGTCCGATTGTTCAGTACTGGCCCCTGCCACGGGAATTCGTGACATTTTCGTTGCTGTACTCTGGTGTGGTAGCCGAGGCAAGCACCAGTCAGTTGAGGTAGTTTGGATTCTTAGGGTCGCTGCGCGGTGCCAGCGGCTTTATGCAGGAAGAGCGTGTAACCAGTCAGTAGAGGCAGTTTGGATTCTTAGGGTCGCTTGCTTCCTTTGCGCAACAACAGACGACGTCGATGACTGACAACCTTGTTTTCCCTCCAGCGGCTGAGTGCATCGAAGCGCATCCCTTTGGCGGCGGCCGGCTAAAGGTCCACCCCCTTTTTGTTTGGTTTTGTTGAGGGTTGCGCCGCGTGCAACTTCAAGAATCTCGTCGGGAATACCTAGCGTAAAACTGCTTACCCTACCTGCCTGCTCTGCCCCGCGCGCTGTCCGCTGTTATCTGTTATCAACTGCTGCCCACGGAGCCCCCCCCAGGTCCTGGGGGTGTGCCTTGACACCCAAAGCGGGCGGACAAATCGTGCCCCCCTCCGGAGCACGAGGGCGGAGACCGTGACACCACCGGTGCTCGATGATACGAAATGGGGGTTGCACGTATCCCTCCCCTGCTGCTGCGCGCTGCTGCAATGCTGCGCGCTGACATGCACTGCTTATGCCGCGGGTCGTGCTCGACATGCACGCGCAGACACCACCAGCGCCCCGCCCCGCGGCGCCGAGCGGCACACCTATAACCCCGCTCGCAGGGCACAGTGCAGCGCGTCGTCGGGGCCGCCGGGGCGACACGCGCAGCCAAAAAGTCCCCGACCGCATCTGTCGCAGCATCGTGTTGTGACGCTCCGGAGGCCCGGCCGTGATGGCCCGAAGCCGCCCGTCGTGATTTTTTGTCACGGCGCGAGGGGGCCGGGGGACATGCTCGCGCCGCGAGAAAACCATCGCGACGGGCGTTTTTTTTGTTGGGGGGGGGGGGGGGGCCGTCTGCGGCTGCCGAGGCGCGCGGTCTCGTGGGGGGAGCTCTCGTGGCGCCTCCCCGCCTGGAGACGGAAGGGGTGGCACGGTCAGGAGCGGAAGGCTTCGGCAGCAGATCATGGGAGCCCGGTGCACTTGGGGGCGGCAAAGGGCGGGGTGATTCTGGTTCACCCAAAAGGGGGTCCAGCTGAAAGAGAGGGTGGTGCGATATATCAGGTGCAGTAGATTTGTGGGGTTGCAATAGATTTGGGGCGTGCAATACATTCCGGTGCGCAGATGTATTGCTGGGTTTTCGCGTACAGTGCAGTGGCTACAATACAATGCAATACAACTCTCTGGCAAAGTACATGTGCAATACTTTTGCCCCACAACTATTGCACCACCTCCCTTCAGCTGGACCCTTTTTTGGGCCAACAGAAGTGATGACGTTGGGGTGGTGCATAGCATGGCGGGAGCCATGATATCTCCCAAGATCTCAAGGCGCTTCTTATTTCAATGCGCCCCTGGCACCCCCTGGGCCGCGCACAGGCCGCCGGCCATGATTTGCGCCCCCCCCCTCTTGGACGGCCCCCTCTTGGCCGCCCCCGGTCTACCTTTTTAATTTCGTCTTTCGCGTCGAGTAGCGTCGATCAGCGTCTGGGAATCGATGAGATAGCGCCCACTTACAGCGTGGAATTAGCGTCGACTTAGCGTCGACTTAGCGTCGACTAGCGTCGAGTCAGCGTCGACTAGCGTCCATCCGCAAGAGCTGACAAGACGGTATGGGAGGCTCCTAGGAGTTGCCACCGAAGACATGCTGACATGCTCGCGTCGTGAACGAGAATCGCGACGGGCGGTTTCTGGGGCCCCCCGCCAGGCTCTGGGACAGTCGGAACGCGGGTCGGGAGGAGAAGCCAGCCCTGGAGAAAGATCGGAGCTTCGGGGGCACCCGCACCGAAAAACAAAAAAAAACAAGACTCTGCACGTTTGTGAAGACGTTTCTTCCATCATGCCGCCATTCGGGCTGGCCGCTGCTGCACCGAGCTCGGACTTAGTTGTCTGCGGCGCGCGGTTCTTGCTCGCGAGGTGGCTGGCCTTCGCAAGCGGCAGGGAACCGCCATCCTTCCGCCGAAAAGGCATTAGGCCTTCGCGTTGGCCACTTTGATGTGCGTAGGACAGCTATCCGATGGACCTGCCAGGGGCTGACGAACATAGCAACTGTTCCAGCTGGCAGCGCCCAGGGAGGCGAGGTAATTACCCAGCTGCCTGCAGCAGATTTGCCATCATGCCAGTGAACCATTCTGTGAGACGACCCTTCGAGTACCGCCCAGAAGACCGTCACATGCGACACTTCTCGTCTCCATGTCTTGAGGAGCTCTCATGGGGCTTAGTTGGGCCGTCGTGGGGCTGTCTTGGGATCCTGTGGTGGGTTTCGTGGGTCTCTTAGGGGTTCTCGTCGGCAATATTGGAGCCGCCTTAGGCCGTCTCGGGGGCTGCGTCTTGGGACGCTCTTGGGCAGTCTGGCGCCGTCGGGGTGCTCCTTGGGGCCTCTCGGAGACGCCTTGAGGGCATCTAAGGCCGTGCCCTCGAGCTGGCCTCTCGGACCGTTGTAGTGCCATATTGAGGGCCTCTTGGGCTTCTTGGCCCGACGGCAGCCCCGCAGTGTGAGAACGCGATGAATTAAGCTTTGGGAAACCAGCGGTTTTGGCTCATTCGGGCACGACTTGGAATCATCTGAAAACCTACCGGGCCCGTCTTGGGTGATGCCTGGGCTGCCTTCAGGGGTCAAACTGGGCCGCCTCGGGGCACTCCTGGGCCGTCTCGAGGCGATGGTGGGCCACACTGGTTGTGGGCCGCACCGCAAGTCATGTTGGGCATCTCGGACGCCTCGGAAAGCGCCATGGAGGCGCTGGGGCGTCGAGGAACCATCAGGAGGATGGGGGGGGGTCGATGCACGCGGACGGGGGGCCCCCCAGAAGACCACAGACCTTGCACACACAACCTGGCACGGTGCATTTGCACGGCGTTTGAGATATTTCTCACTGGTTGCTTGCGCTGTCGAGTGTGCCATCGTGCTGATGTGTCCGCTCCCCCTCCTCCCCTCCAAAATTGCGCTGGAGAGAAAAAAAAAGCAACCTGCCACTCTCCAACGCCTCAATGCGCCTTCGGGCACGGTGGCGGGCCATCTGTTGCATCTGCTCGGGACGCCACTCCGCCCGTCGTCCCAGGGGCTCACGCAGATGGCGACTCGTCCTCCTCCTCCTCCTCCTCCTCCTCCTCCTCCTCCTCCTCCTCCTCCTGCTCCTCCCCCTCCTCCTCCTCCTCCTCCTCCTCCTCCTCTACCTCGTTCTCCTCCTCCTCCTCCTCCTCCTCCTCCTCCTCCTCCTCCTCCTCGTCCTCCCCCTTGTCCTCCTCCTCATCCTTCTCTCCTTCCTCCTCCTCCTCCTCCCAGGGGCTCCCGACAGCGGCGGCACTCTTGCGCGGCCGGCAGCACCCAGGAAGTCCAGGCCCCAAGTGGATCTGTTCTGCACGGTGC